CTTAGACCTGCCCTGAGTGAGCTGTCATCAGTCCGCCATTGTTTCACCGCCGGAGCAGATGTAGACAAGAATGACTCCTAAGCGATTGAGGTGTTCTGTTGTTGGATGTAATAATGACCATAGCAGTCGCCATTTACTCACGACATCTGAGCAGCTGAAGACGCAGTGGATTACGTTTGTTTTTGAAGAGAATGCGCCCCCGATCTACATAAATGCTATGTTCGTGCGAATCATTCATGATCCAGCTTCACATACAGAAGAAGTGAGTATAAGGTTTTTTTAATGAATCTTTGCAAATCGCCTTTCCTAATAATGTGCTAATTAGCAAGTTTCACGATGAATGCGGCTAAAGTAAACAGTCCCTCAGAGAGCGGCTCGGAAGAGAGGGGCGGGGTCAGCAGAGCTCATTAACATTTAAAGGAAAATGCTACAAAACGGCTTGCTCTGAAAAGAGCTGTTTTTGACAGAGTAGAAAATTTGTTTTTTACACTACCATTGAGAAATTTTAACCAAACTATGTTACAGACTTTTCATTAAGACCCTAAAGAATCATATCAACTTGTGGAAAATGGGCATCCAATGACCCCTTAAGCAACACATCCCAGACAATATTTTTCCGGTTTTTGATTATTCGGACGTTTCGTTGGACATTCTAGTTGGAGGTATAGCTGTGTTGTTCAGACGCAGAAGAGGGAAACGCGCCGGCGCCCTGGTTAAGCTCCGCGCGTGCAGCTTTCGAACTGCGCTCCCAGGCATTCATCTCACGAATGTCCGTTCCCTTCTCAACAAAACGGATGAACTTCTTTTCCTCACCCGCACCAACAAGGACTTTTCAAACTCTGCTGCACTATGCTTCACTGAAACCTGGCTGAGTGAAGCCATTCCAGATAACACGCTTCATCTGCCGGGCTACCAGCTGTTCAGAGCGGATCGCATCGCGGAGTTAACGGGGAAAACGAGAGGTGGAGGATTGTGTTTCTACATCAACGAAAAAGGTGTGCTTTCCTAACTTAAAGGCACTCTTCATAAACTGTAAACATTTCTACTCGCCGCGGGAGTTTTCCTCTTTCATTCTGGCAAATGTGTACGTTCCTCCGGACGTGTGCATGAGCGACGCGATGCAACAGCTGGCCAAACAAATAACTGAAATGGAGCAAAGGTACCCAGACTCTATTTTAATCATTCTTGGAGATTTTAACAAATCAAATCTCTCCCGTGAACTGCCAAAATACAATCAGCACATTACATGTCCCACCAGAGACAGCAATATATTGGATTACTGTTACACAGCAATAAAGGATGCATATCATACAGACTAACAAAGGAGATCAGAGTGGCTAAAAAAAAACTACTCTTAAAAGCTGAGAAAACACTTTTCAGCCAACTCTGGAGCTGTGTGAAGTTCCCTGCTGCTTCAAATGCTCCACCATCATTTCAGTCCCCAAAAAGCCCAAAATCACTGGACATAATGATTACAGACCTGTCGCTCTCGCGTCTGTGATCATGAAGTCATTTAAGCGACTGGTCCTGGTCTACTTGAAGGACATCACTGGACCCTTGCTGGATCTTCTTCAGTTTGCCTACAGAGCAAACAGGTCCTTTGATGATACAGTCAACATGGGACTGCATTACATCCTGCAACACCTCGACAGACCTGGGAATTACACAAGGATCCTATTTGTGGACTTCAGTTCGGCTTTCGATACCATCATGCCTGACCTTCTCTCAGACAAACTCACACAGCTCTCTGTGCCCACTTCCATCTGTCAGTGGATCACCAGCTTCCTGAAAGACAGGCAGCAGCTAGTGAGGCTCGGCAAACTCACATCCAGGACTATCACCATCAGCACTGACGCCCCTCAGGGTTGTGTACTCTCCCCACTGCTCTTCTCCCTCTACAAGAATGACTGCACTTCAAAGGACCCCTCTGTCAAGCTCCTGAAGTTTGCGGACGACACTACAGTCATCGGCCTCATCAAGGTCGGTGACGAGTCTGCTTACAAACAGGAGGTTGAAGAGCTGGCTGTCTGGTGCAGTCTTAACAACCTGGAGCTTAACATGCTCAAAAATGTGGAGATGATCGTGGACTTCAGGAGAAACCACCCTGCACTCTCCCCACTCACCATCATGGACAGCACTGAGGCTGCAGTAGAGTCATTCAGATTCCTGGGCACCACTATCTCTCAGGACCTGAAGTGGGACACTCACATAGACTCCTTTGCTAAAAAGGCCCAGGAAAGGTTGTACTTCCTTCGCCAGCTGAGGAAATTTAACCTGCCACAGGAGCTGCTCACACAGTTCTACTCGGCCATCGAGTCTGTCCTGTGTTCATCTATAACTGTCTGGTTTGGTTCAGCTACCAAATCAGGACTGCTGAGAGGATTATCGGTGGTAGATCAAGATCTTTACACCTCCAGAGTGAGGAAAAGGGCTAAGAAAATCACCCTGGACCCCTCACACCCAGCCTACTCTCTCTTCGAACTGTTGCCTTCTGGTC